GCATGTTTCTATGTTTGCTAATTATTTCCTTCTTGCATGTTCCTTATATTTACATCGTCATATCATTGCTTGGGTTGGTTTATGATCTTGCTTTTGTTGTTTGAGAGTTGTTTTTCATGAGTCTTAGTTTTCATTTATTCATGTTTTCCATCTCATGTTTCAAGATAATCGTGTCATATGTCTATTGCTTTTTCATATACTCTTGTGGGACTAATAGTTGTTTTGGAGATTGTGGCACTAATAACTATTTTGTAGATCATGACCTTGAGAAAGAAGTTGATTTTTGTTCGCTGTTATGGGTTAGGGTGTTTAGGATTTCATTTGTTAGGTGTGTTTTGTCACGCATTGCCAAAGGGGAAGATTGTTAGGTTTTATTCTTGGCAACCCCGTTTGACAAAACTCCTTTCAGTTGTATTTATTTTCGCACCTTTTATTTCAGTGAGGCTATGAGTTTTTTAGATACGAATCCAACCCGAATCGTGCCTTTGTCAATTTCCATGGATCAAAACCGAGGTTGTAATAGGATCAAGTTTTCCTGATTTTTCAATTTTAGTCGTCCCGCTCGAGCGGGGAAAGTGACGCTCGAGCGGGGATTGCAAGCTCACAGCATCTCTGTTTCGCCTGAAAAAGTACTGGATGGTGTGATTCGACGCTCGAGCGTGGAAACGTCCGCTCGAGCGTGAAGCCTATATGAATCACACAATTTTGAAGCCTCCGCTCAAGCGGGAATTCACACGCTCGAGCGGACCGCGCGAACATAGATTCTTGGATTTCTATAAGGAATTGGTTTTCTTCCAAAACTAGGATTACTTTGGTTTTCTATAAGTAGTTGGGTTTCTCCCAAAACTTAGACAAGTCCTCCAGATCTTCTTTTTTGGATTTTAAATTTTATATCTGGGGATATTTTGCTAGTTTTCTTTGATATTTTGATTGAGTATTCAACTCATGGTTTAAAGAGTATACATCAAAGGATTATTTGTTTGTTCTACACAAAAGAGAGAGTTGTTCTTCGGTGGATTCTGAAGAATTCGAGCCTGAAGCTTTGGTGGATTCCGGAGTGGCTCATCGTCAAGACAATTCCAAGGTGAAGACGAGGTTGGAAGAGGCACATAGAGGTTGGTTCAATTCGGGCGTGGATTCGCTAGGTAATTGAGAGTATACCTGTGTAATCCCTTTATATCTTCTTAGTGGATTGTTTTGTGGCTGTTGCCCGTGGTTTTTTATCACAATTGGAGGTGTCCAGTTGTGGTTTTTCCACGTAAAATAGTTGTGTCGTTTTGTTTTGATTGTTTGATTGGGATTGTTATACACTGCTTAAAATTGATACATAATCACAAATCAACATCTAGGGGATTTCTAGATTTTTCATCATCATTTATCCATTAAATGGATTTGTTAGATTCTGAATACAATTTAGCCCTTTATTAAAGAACAAAAACTTGGCCCTTATCCGTAAACCATATTATTATAAAATGTAAAGGCCCAACTCAAATAAGTAAAAATAGATGTTGGGTTAAAACCACTGGGCTTGTCAAAAGACATAAATCAATGAATGAAACAAGTGACCCCAATAAAAATTTGGGCCTTTTAAATCAGTTCAAGTCAAACATATTAAAAGCCCCTTAATAGACCAAATTAGTAGACCCAAGTATCACAAATAGAAAATAGAACAAACACACACAAAGACAACGTTCCAAATGTCTTCTTTGACAAGGGAATCGTTTGGCCGACAAAACACTGCAAACCAAACCCATCAACTTTACGCATATATGGAGTAAAATTTCCTCAGAAAACATAAACATATTTATGTTATAAACCATAAATCTGAAAAAACAAATCAAGTCCAAATCGGCATGTATAAACCATGAGGATTACATCATTTATTTACACCATTTGCTGTGCACAAATCAAACAATGCATTTTTTTTTTTTAACAATAAAAGGTTTGTACAACTATTATGCCTGAACAATACAAACTAGTTAACTGTAGAAACTTCTAAAACATAATTTCTTATATTTCTTTGTAAAAAACAGAACTCTAATAACAAGAATATATTGCATATATTTATAGATATACAAGGTTGAATCTATTTCTTTATTGACTCTAGAATGAGATCAATGAATAACAAAACTGATTCTGTTTAAACAAAATTTTTGTTTCAAACAAAAGTTTCAGAAAAGCAAGAATGTTTATCAAACGTATACTAACAATTTGATTTAAACCAAAACCAGAAAAAACAAAAAACAAAAAAAAAAATTTGTCTTAACTTATGCAAATTAGAATATCACATATGGTTCTAATTATTAAATTCGAAACATGTAAACATGTAACAAAAAACTAAAATCAAACACTAACAGAAATGGAAGCCTAAAAATCTATTAATAGTTACACTATCAGATTTTGATATAACATAGAATTGGAAAAAGCTGTATAAACTTACAACCAAAAACCAATCAAACAAATCTATTAAAGCATATCTGGTTATAAGAATCAACTTGATATTTGTCTTAAAGAACGTTACAAACTGCCGATAACAAAACAAAAGTACTCCACAAAAGTCACAACTCTTGAAACCATAAAACAGTTATTATAATTTCAAAATTGTGATTGGTTGTTAAACAAAAATTCCAGTCTAATTTTTTTTTTTTTTACCAGCATTCAAAGAACTTAGATCTGTTTAACAACAGTTCCTAATACACAAAACTATATTTTCCCAAAAACCATAAACATGGAAGATTGTGTCTTAAGATTGTTAGAAAAAATAGTACCAAACTATAAGGAAAATATAATTTAAAAATATATAAATGCTTTTTGGGCAAAACCAAAAACTGAAATATATCAACATAATAACGTGATAAAACTTACAGTACATAAAAGGATAAAACTTGATGCACAGTTTAGTAATATACATACACAGTTTCGTTTTCGATCAGGAATTAATGCATAGAAATAGAATTACCCATAGATTATATGCACAGTTTAGTAATATACATACACAGTTTCGTTTTCGATCAGGAATTAATGCATAGAAATAGAATTACCCATAGATTATATGCACAGTTTAGTAATATACATACACAGTTTCGTTTTCGATCAGGAATTAATGCATAGAAATAGAATTACCCATAGATTATATGCACAGTTTAGTAATATACATACACAGTTTCGTTTTCGATCAGGAATTAATGCATAGAAATAGAATTACCCATAGATTATATGCACAGTTTAGTAATATACATACACAGTTTCGTTTTCGATCAGGAATTAATGCATAGAAATAGAATTACCCATAGATTATATGCACAGTTTAGTAATATACATACACAGTTTCGTTTTCGATCAGGAATTAATGCATAGAAATAGAATTACCCATAGATTATATGCACAGTTTAGTAATATACATACACAGTTTCGTTTTCGATCAGGAATTAATGCATAGAAATAGAATTACCCATAGATTATATGCACAGTTTAGTAATATACATACACAGTTTCGTTTTCGATCAGGAATTAATGCATAGAAATAGAATTACCCATAGATTATATGCACAGTTTAGTAATATACATACACAGTTTCGTTTTCGATCAGGAATTAATGCATAGAAATAGAATTACCCATAGATTATATGCACAGTTTAGTAATATACATACACAGTTTCGTTTTCGATCAGGAATTAATGCATAGAAATAGAATTACCCATAGATTATATGCACAGTTTAGTAATATACATACACAGTTTCGTTTTCGATCAGGAATTAATGCATAGAAATAGAATTACCCATAGATTATATGCACAGTTTAGTAATATACATACACAGTTTCGTTTTCGATCAGGAATTAATGCATAGAAATAGAATTACCCATAGATTATATGCACAGTTTAGTAATATACATACACAGTTTCGTTTTCGATCAGGAATTAATGCATAGAAATAGAATTACCCATAGATTATATGCACAGTTTAGTAATATACATACACAGTTTCGTTTTCGATCAGGAATTAATGCATAGAAATAGAATTACCCATAGATTATATGCACAGTTTAGTAATATACATACACAGTTTCGTTTTCGATCAGGAATTAATGCATAGAAATAGAATTACCCATAGATTATATGCACAGTTTAGTAATATACATACACAGTTTCGTTTTCGATCAGGAATTAATGCATAGAAATAGAATTACCCATAGATTATATGCACAGTTTAGTAATAAAATGGAATTTTCCCCTCTCTCATTTTATTTTTATGTTTTTGAGAGTGGTAGTTTAGTTGACTGACACAGAAATCAACTCAAGTATATTGAGTTCTAGTAACAAATTTATATAATAATAAATTCGTCCACCATAATATTATCAGACCAATATTTCTGTACCCTGTTTCGTTTGTAAGTACAACCAAGACAAGGACTTGTAGATGTTTCAAAGAAGACCTTGAAATTTTGAGTGGCTCTCAAAAACAGCCTACAGTTTCAAGCCACATGATTATCCAGAGCCATATAGTGTATTAAACAGGAAGAGACATTTCATAAATGGTTGTTTTCAATCCTACACTCCACACGAAATGTGTGAACTAGCAATGAACTTGAATCAGCCGTTATTAGATCATATAGAGCCCACAAAGCGGTGATGATGGGAGGGAGATTTTGTTTGGGTTTTCAACTTTTGTGTGAGAGCTTTGTGTTGTATAGTTTATTCCACAAGAGAGCTACTATGGACCCTCACGGCTCAAGATTCTCAGATTTGAGCAACATGCAACTGGGCCTTGACAGCAGAGTTGAAACAATGACAAGCTGTGTTGTATAGTTAACTATTTCTGGCTCAAATTTGAATCTATGAACCAATAGTATATTCAATAGGTTAGCATATGCCTCAAAACAGGTTAATATCATTGTCTCCATTGTTGTCATTGCCATCGTGGTTGGTTTCGTTATCTTGTGTCTGCGGTTTGTATGGTTATTATTTTTTCCTTCTTTAATGCTTCATTATGCAAAAATTGCAAAATAGAATATTTTGTGACCTATTTCTGTTTTCATGATAATCAATTCAAGCAGCCTACCATACAAGTTTTTTTGGCTTTTCCAACCAAACATGCTTAGGGTTCCTCGAGCCTTAGAAGTTGTATTCTATTTAGTTTTTTTTTTTTCCTTGATGAGTTTGAGGTTATTTTGTGTTCTCCCCACACATGTTCCTTTAATAGTCTAACTGGACCTTTTTCGTTGATTGCAAGCATTTGAATGCCTCATTTTTGATAAATGACTATTGTCATATTGGAGAATTTGCTAACGTCATTACTATTAGATGGTTCTGTTTTCATTTTGTAACAAATTCACTGTTTTAATTTTGAGTTAACATGGCACCTCTACTCATGATTTCTGGGTCCACCACTGGTTATAACACTCTTTGCAGTTTTCATCTTCACAAGTGATCCTGAATTAGGCATTTATGAACCCTTTATTAGGATTAAATCCATTAGCTTCCTTTCCTGCTTAGAATGCTTGAGAAGACTGCCAAGATAGAGATGGCAGTGATACTACGACAATAAGTGGGGTTCATTATTGTGCTGCCTTTGTATGACATTTGTATCCTTTATTTTACTCTTTTTTATAAGATGGAAATTTCAATGTTTAGCTCATGTATTTCACTGCCAATGCCATTTTCTGTTTGGATCCATATGTTTGTTGTTTCTCCTTTTCTGTTAGGAGGAGGGATACACACATCTTGTTTAATTCATTATAAGTCTAATCATAGCTTAAGCAATAGATGGACGACAACTAATGAAAATTACTAATGAAAAGTAGGCCTATTAATTCATATTTCTGCATCAACTTGTTGTCTCCTATTCACTTTTACATGCTTTAAGTTAACCAATCAAATGGGTTGTCATTTTGAGTGTTGCCTAGTTTATGAACTTTTTGAAGTATCATTTCAATTCTGGAACATTATTAACAAGTGGATGTGATTTTTTATATTAAAAAATTGTAGATACATGATCAAGAGGAGTGGGAAAAGTATAGAAAGTGGGCAGCCACGTGTGTAGCTATGTATGCTTCATATGTTGTCAGCCTTGTCTCAATTCTTCATTGTCGTGATCATATAAGGAAGTCAATTTCAGAACAAGGAGATTATGAAAGATATGCCCTAATTAAACGGCTAACGACTTTGGAAGATGCAGATTATCGTAGCCAGTTACGCATGAGCAAAGATGCGTTTGCCACACTAGTTAGCATGCTTAAAAGAACTCAGTTTCTTAGAGACAATCCTCAAAGTAAAGTAGAAGAACAAGTTGCAAAATTCCTTCATATAATTGGCCATACTTTGAGGAACCGTACGATCAAGTTCTTTTACAGACGATCAGGTGAGACTGTTAGTCGACATTTTCATCAAGTTCTTAAAGCCATTATATCATTGGGAGATATCTTTTTAAAGCAACCTGATGGATTCAACTGCCCTCCAGAGATTAGAAACAATCCCAAGTATTGGCCATATTTTAAGGTAGTTACATGAATGCAATTAGGGTATATAATATTATATGTTTGGATAAAAATAATGAATTTTTACAGGATTGTGTTGGTGCGATTGATGGTACACATTTTCGTGTAAGAGTGCCAAACAAGGATGCACAAAGATACCGAGGATGAAAATGCTATCCCACTCAAAATGCTTTGGCTGCATGTTATTTTGATTTAAAGTTTACATATATCCTTCCGGGATGGGAAGGATCTGCTTCAGACTCGAGAATATTAGATAATGCATTAACAAGAGAAATGAATAAATTGATCGTTCCTCAAGGTGATCACTGAACGTGTATATATGCTGATGAATATAAATCTATTTTTGTTTTCGTTCAAACTAACATCATTTAGTTACTTGTTGGTCCTAGGGAAATATTACTTAGTAGATGCAGGATTTCAACTAAAAACTGGGTTCCTTGCTCCATATAGAAGTACTCGTTACCATTTGAAGGAGTATAGTGTTCATCAACCAGAAAATTCTCGAGAGCTTTTCAACCTTCGTCATGCATCTTTGCGAAATGTAATTGAAAGAGCCTTTGGTGTCTTAAAGAAAAGGTTTCCAATTTTAGGAAGTGGGACAGAGCCATATTATGATGTTGACACTCAAACAGATATTGTTTTAGCCAGTTGTATTTTGCACAACTACCTCATGGGTATTGATCCCAATGAAAGTCTTATTGAGGAGGTTGATACAGGGCTTAGAAGAGCACAAGTGCAAACTAACGTGGCTAGATCAAGTTTAGCTGAAGAATGTAGGGAAGGAGAATTGTTAAGGGAACGAATAGCTACTGACATGTGGAGAGATTATGATATAAATCTTCAATGACAATCAAATTATAATATGGATCTTGGAAAACAGAGAGGGGCTGGAAGGGTTATTTGATGTTCTTGTTCTTGCGATGTACCCATTATGTACTCATTTGCTTTACATCAATATAATCTTTTTCTTTTGCTGATAAAACAAAAAATTGACAAGTTAATTATTATTATTTGAATGTTATCTTGGAATGAATTATATTTTAATTTGTTATTGTATTATGTGAAACATTGCGTTTGTTTGGGTGATAATTTGCTACTAGCTATACTCTTCTTCCGATATATTTTATGGCATTTTTTAGTGTAGGTGGAAGGTGACCAAGATTGTTCAGTAGAAATTGACAAGAAACATTTGAAATGGAATAATCAAATGGATGTTCTTCTTATTGACTCACTCTTGGACCAAATGCTCAAAGGGCAAAAAATTGGTGGTAGTTTTACATCATCTGCTTATAGAGCTGCAAGCAATGCAGTGAGTACCAAGTTTAGTGTACATTGTGATTCCAGTCACGTAAGGAATCGGTTGAAGACTTTAAAAAGAAATCTTGCAATGGCTAAAGATATGTTAACAACTGATAGTGGATTTGGATATAATCATTCAACACAACTAATTGAAGCTACAGCAGGTGTATGGGCAACTTACCTCAAGCTATATCTAATTGTCAGATTGATGTAGTTCTGTACTAGAAAATTACAATATTTGTTCATCATTATTTAATATAATATTATATATGTTGTTCTCTATAGGCAAAGCCTAAAGCTTCTCAGTTTCGACATGCTCCAATTCAAAACTTTCAAAAGTTATGTCAACTCTTCGAAAAGGATCGAGCAACTGGGAGTCTTGCTATAGGTCCAAAAGAAAAGCGACTTCGTTGGGTTGGGCAACAAATTCTTTTGGATGATGAAAATACTGATCATACTGAGTCACTCTCAGAGAATTTTGATGGGATTGGAACTCAAGATGACCAAACTGCTGAAGTATCTTGTTCCTCTAACTCAAAGAAGAGAAAGAATAAATTAGGTGACACTCTGAGTAAGGAAATAAGATCAATTAAGGAAGGTCTAGATGCAGTTGCAGCAGCGCTTGATCGTGGTAACCTTCGGAACTACACAAATGGACAATTATTTGAGGAGATTGAGAAGGGTAGTGGCATGAGCGATGCTTCTAGAATGAAGGTGTATCAAGTTCTTGCTAAAGAAGTGAGTGATGCTTGAGCGTACCTAGAATGCCCTATTGAACGCCGAGGTCTTTGGTTGTCTGTTAAATTCGGATCTTCAATCTTTGATGCGTAGTACTATTTTTCTTTTGTTGGTACTTTTTTATTTGAATATTTTAGGGATTTGATGAATCTATGAAAATATCATTAGGCTTGGATTTTTTGTATATAGACTCTCTTAGTTGGTGGTGAGTCTACTTTGGTAGATGAATCTGTTATTCTGGTTGTGATGCATTGCTGCACTATGATACATTGATGTTATGTTTTCTATATTGGTAGATGAGTCTGGTGTCTTGGTTTTGATGTTCTGCTGCTGATGCTGTCTTATGCTTTGGTTTGGTGTTCTGCACTTATGCTGCTGCTGATGCTAGCTGTCTGTAGGTGGTTGTGATGCATTGCTGTACTATGATACATTGATGTTATTTCTTTGTTTTTTTTTTTTTGGTAATGCTTGTGAGATTATTCTGATCATCATAATAGAACTCTTGGAATCATCATTATGTTCAATTTAAACTGGTGTCTGTCCGTTGAATCTGCAATTCAAACTTTATCAAGTTTGGAGGGGAAGCTCTTCCACTAATATATAAATGCTTTTATATTATTGTCAATATATCAGTATACTATTGTAGTTTTACATGTGTTTAGGCTGGTTTGCTACTTACAATAATTACTTCGAAGTGGATTCGAGAACGTAGTAACCTCTGTGAAATATGTCAAAAGTTGGTGTTTGTTGGTTCAGAATTCCACATCAATGCTGTTTTATTTACACACCAATGATGCTGGTTTATGTCTGTCTGTAAGCAGCATAGCATTTCTTCGTGGTTGCAACCAACAATATAATAATATCATATATAAATATATGTAAATCCCCTCTCTGTGGAATTATTCTTTGCATGAGCATAATTTTTCTCTCTATCGCATATGCTTTTGTTTGCTGGGAAATTCAATAATATATGCATCTTCAGTGTTCTCAAAAAAAGAAAAAGCAAAAAAAAAAGATGAGCTATGTAATTTTAGTGTTTGACTATATGTTTTCACTTGTTCTGTGCTCTAGTGATTGATGTGGTTGTTATGTTCTCGTACATTTTTGGTTGGATTAGAAAAATTAGAAGAAAATAACATATATATATATATATATATATTTGTCGAGAAAATATAATAAAGTTTTGTTTAGTTATGATTTTTTATTTTTATCAAATTAATTTTTTATTTTTTATTTTGATTGATTTTTTATTTTGATTGATTAATTTTTTATCAAATTAATATATATATATATATATATATTTTATTTTTATCAAAATATAATAAATTAATTTTTTATTTTGATTGATTTTTTATTTTGATTGATTAATTTTTTATCAAATTAATATATATATATATATATATTTATTTATTTTTATCAAAATATAATAAATTAATTTTTTATTTTGATTGATTTTTTATTTTGATTGATTAATTTTTTATCAAATTAATATATATATATATATTTTTATCAAAATATAATAAATTAATTTTTTATTTTGATTGATTTTTTATTTTGATTGATTAATTTTTTATCAAATTAATATATATATATATATTTTTATCAAAATATAATAAATTAATTTTTTATTTTGATTGATTTTTTATTTTGATTGATTAATTTTTTATCAAATTAATATATATATATATATTTTTATCAAAATATAATAAATTAATTTTTTATTTTGATTGATTTTTTATTTTGATTGATTAATTTTTTATCAAATTAATATATATATATATATTTTTATCAAAATATAATAAATTAATTTTTTATTTTGATTGATTTTTTATTTTGATTGATTAATTTTTTATCAAATTAATATATATATATATATTTTTATCAAAATATAATAAATTAATTTTTTATTTTGATTGATTTTTTATTTTGATTGATTAATTTTTTATCAAATTAATATATATATATATATTTTTATCAAAATATAATAAATTAATTTTTTATTTTGATTGATTTTTTATTTTGATTGATTAATTTTTTATCAAATTAATATATATATATATATTTTTATCAAAATATAATAAATTAATTTTTTATTTTGATTGATTTTTTATTTTTTGTATTTTGTATTTTTGTTTTAGTGAATTTTTTTTTAATATTTTAGTTAAGTTTTTTTACTTTATAAATTTACATAACTTAAATACACTTAAAAAGTAAAACATTTGTAAAAAAATATTTATAAAATTCAATAGGGCAAATTACACTATTAGTCTCCATAGTTTAAGACTTGTGTCACTTTAGTCCATGATTTTTTAATTGTGGCACATTTGACCCTGAATCTTTTTCCAAATAAGGACAATTAACACACCATTGCTTAATTTCAAGGACAAAATCGTCAATTTGATAGTATATAACCTAATTTGACAAAAATAAATGTCAAACAAATATTTTAAAATTTTTAAAAATTATTTCTACCTACCAAAGATAAGAAGAGATTAACTTTCAAAAGGTTATGTCAACTCTTCGAAAGAGATCGAGCAACTGGGAGTCTTGCTATAGGTCCAAAAGAAAAGCGACTTCGTTGGGTTGGGCAACAATTCTTTTGGATTGATGAAAAAATACTGATCATACTGAGTCACTCTCAGAGAATTTTTGATGGGATTGGAAACTCAAGATGACCAAACTGCTGAAGTATCTTGTTCCTCTAACTCAAAGAGAAGAAAGAATAAATTAGGTGACACTCTGAGTAAGGAAATAAGATCAATTAAGGAAGGTCTAGATGCAGTTGCAGCAGCGCTTGATCGTGGTAACCTTCGGAACTACACAAATGGACAATTATTTTTGAGGAATTGAGAAGGGTAGTGGCATGAGCGATGCTTCTAGAATGAAGGTGTATCAAGTTTCTTGCTAAAGAAGTGAGTGATGCTTGAGCGTACCTAGAATGCCCTATTGAACGCCGAGGTCTTTGGTTGTCTGTTAAATTCGGATCTTCAATCTTTTGATGCGTAGTACTATTTTTCTTTTTGTTGGTACTTTTTTATTTGAATATTTTAGGGATTTGATGAATCTATGAAAATATCATTAGGCTTGGATTTTTTGTAATTATAGACTCTCTTAGTTGGTGGTGAGTCTACTTTGGTAGATGAATCTGTTTATTCTGGTTGTGATGCATTGCTGCACTATGATACATTGATGTTATGTTTTCTATATTGGTAGATGAGTCTGGTGTCTTGGTTTTTGATGTTTCTGCTGCTGATGCTGTCTTATGCTTTGGTTTGGTGTTCTGCACTTATGCTGCTGCTGAATGCTAGCTGTCTGTAGGTGGTTGTGATGCATTGCTGTACTATGATACATTGATGTTATTTTTTTTTTTTTTTTTTGGTAATGCTTGTGAGATTATTCTGATCATCATAATAGAACTCTTGGAATCATCATTATGTTCAATTTAAACTGGTGTCTGTCCGTTTGAATCTGCAATTCAAACTTTTATCAAGTTTGGAGGGGAAGCTCTTCCACTAATATATAAATGCTTTTATATTATTGTCAATATATCAGTATACTATTGTAGTTTTAC